AATTTTCTGCCGTGTGGAACATATCATTTTTTCTCCGAATGCCTTGGCTGCCTAATAAAACAAATGACAATTTAACATGTATTTATTAAAAATGTTGTTTAAAATAAAAATAATATTAAAAGAATTTAATAGATTTGTCCCAACTAGAAACAGTTACTAAATTTTTTGTATTGACGTACCCTATAAAGATTTGTTTAAAATTAAAAAAATAGTAGATCGGTAAACAATTTTTACTAATAATGAAAACCTTTTACTTCACACAAATAGTTTTCAAAAGTTTATTATGCACTATACACGTCTTTTAGGTCAGTACGATTTTTATATAAAACTGGTTATAGCGTGTGAAATACCCTGTATAATCTCAGACTATTTTATTGTTATAATAAAATAGGCAAGGAAAATTCAAATATATGAAATACAAAGTGTCCCATTTAGGAAAAGTTTGTTATGTATCACTTTTTTGGAGAACCTTGTATAAATGGAAAGTATATGTCGTTTCTTTGATTTTTTTGAAAAATTATTTAAATTCATGAAAAGTTTGTGTTAACTGGTAGTCATAGAATGGAATAAAAAAAAACATTTTTTCTAAATAACACACGAGAATAAAGTTTGGCCTTACCTCGGGAACTGTTTACCTGAACAATTTCTAGATTTTTCAACAAAATCGTTGGAATAAAATATGTTAAATTTTGTAACTTACCGCTATATCTCGCGATAGAGGTATATTTTTTTACAAAATATAATTGTTTTTTACAAAGAAAGTCTGATGTGTTTCATTATTTGTTAGGTGTAACGAAAAGAAAACATGTAAATATGTTTAGTTTTGAAAGGAATTCATAGAAAAACTAATGATTCCACGTCGTTTGTATAGATACTAAAAGTTAGTCGAATATTTAAAAAAAAAACTTGGTTTCTTGTACCCAAAGCGGCTTTTAATTGACACTTTAAAGACTTAAAAAGATGTATTTTTACTGCCTAGGCAGAAAAATCGGACTTACTATGTAATGTTCCAGGTAATAAGTTAATTCAAACGGAAAGTTGATGGAATAATATTTATCGGCGGATACGAATGACTTTAAAGACCTAAACACTATATGTTGGAGTTCTTGCTATTTAATGATTTTGATTTAATTGATTGAATGTAGTGTACTGAATTGGTAGTATAAGAATTGTATTTGTAATCTTGGGCTAAATGTGTTTTTCCCCTCTTTGCTCCCATAGTTGTTTGGCGGCAAAAAAACAGACTTTAAAAGAAAAATATATATATTTTGAATCATTAGGTAGTCTTAATGTTTCGTTTAATCGGTTAACAAAAACCTATTGAATATTTGGTATAAAAATTATATTTTGTTTTAAATAATATTTTAAATTGAATTAATGATTTTTTCAATAAAAATAATAATTTTTATTTATTTTTTAACTTTCATGCCACTAAAGTCCATCTTAACTAAAGATTTCATCAAATAACAATATCGAAATTTTCAAGCATCACCGCCCAGTTTGTCCGCTAATTTCTCCTAGCTTATGCCTCATACGATTAAAAGCGTTTTAATTTGATAAACATTGGCAGACAAATCTGTGCAAATTTTTATACAAAACAAAACTGTTCCTCACAGATTACAGTTTAAAAAGTGACAGAATAAGTGTACCTAATTTAGCCAGTATATTTCAAAAGATATAATAAAAATAGCTTTAAAAACACATGTTATTTTCTCGGAAGTAAATCGCAAGGGCGCCTTATCCTGGTGAAAGTATGAAACAAAATTTATAAAAATGAAAAGGCTGAGTTATAAACCAATATAAGATCTGGCAACAACGAAATGGATGCCATCAAACCGAAAACGGAATATACAGAGGCCACCAGATACTCAAAATGAATATGTATATCATTGGATGTCATTACCACCTTTAAATATATGTCAGAATATACAGCACACGAAAGTGGCGGCAGTTGCGGTCATTGCTCAAACTACCATGTTTAAAAACATACAAAAATAGGCTGTTTTGGCATCCCGCCAATATTTTGCTGAGAGTTAGTAGGGGTGGGATCCTTTCATTTGCGATGAGTTTCATCGAAAGTCTTCGTGGCATCTGTATATCGGATACCACGAGGACGTGGATGCCACGGCAGACGCAATTTTAACATGGAGGGATGCCACCAAGGCCTATAAATAAATATATATATATATATATATATATATATATATATATATATATATATAAATTATTCAAATAAACCACTTCTTTGCTTGATGTAGAATTGACACACTTCCAATTTGTTAAAGTCACAGTGATTATTCTCGCACAATTTACTAATAAACACACACTTAAAAATTTTTTTTAGGCATATACAATGTATTTTTGGTTATTTAATTCGCATTCGCAATGACAACCACAGACAGATCACTTACTCTGATGACAACTAGTGATGGGCAGATCAGATCCGATCCAATTCAGTGAGCCAGATCTTTAAAAAGAGTTGACCATAGCCCATAGGCACATACTTTGATTACTATACGGGGCAAGAGAGAGGTCCGACACGCCCAACATAGGGCGCGGCCATTTTGAACCCTATGACACAGTTTATAGCTAAAGAATCAGATCGCTCACTCTGCGTCGGCACTTTTTATCTCAATGTTCCAGTTTATACACTGCGCAACTCAGATAATACAATATATGACAACCGCCTATAATAAAAAAGCAGTCTTCTGCGTATCCTGAATTTGTATCCCTGGAGTGGATGTTATTTTGGAACTTTCAACTGGTCCGAGTGAGCTAACTGATTCTCTAGCAATAAACTGTGACTCCAAAAATAATATTCACTGACACTGACAGCAGCAAGCAAAATATCAGATGCGTTTTAATCATTTGCTTCTGCTTCCGGAATTGTCGGTTCAGTCGTTCTAACCTGTCATATTAAAACAAGAAAACCGACAATTCCGAAGCAGAAGCGGATGATTAAAACGCACCTATTAAAAATATTGCGCCAAGATGTAGGCAACACGTAATAAGGGTTCAAAATGGCGGAGTTTACTATCTCCTTTTAAAAGGCACTCAGAAAGCTGCGCAGTGCGACAATTCTTCGTATAGTAAAAGAAAATCAAAGTATGTGCCCATAGGTCTAGATACCGCATCGTAAAAACATTTTGACCCCCTATATAATGGGCGCCATGATCAATAATTGTCAATAAATTTTAAGTTGGCACTACTGACAAGACAGAATCGGCGCAAGTTTAGTGTAAGATCAGCGTTCGACGTTTATAATCGATTTTATTATCTGTTGTGTTGTTTATTTTGTTCTTCTAGTAAAGGTTTTATTTAAAACATTTTTTAGTTTAGTCGTTTAGTGTTTTATTTTAATTAAAAACATTTGAAGTTTGGTGTTAAATTTTTACGGGATTTTCAAAATGTCTTCTTGTTTTGTACCTAAATGTAACAATGCATCTAACGGTAGAAGATATATACAAGGAAGGAATAACATTTCATGTGTAAGTTTTCACAAATATTTGTGTATTTACAAAATCAAATAATTTGTATGTTTTGTTGTAGCATACCAAAAAATTTTAGGAAAGAATAACTGATAGCCATAGGAAGACCATTGAATCATTGTATGACTTTAGTATAAGCCCAAAAAAATTGGGGATACTAGCTGAAACTGCAAATGTGTTATTGGCTCCTTGTTAGTGACCTATGCTATTGTACAATTTTTCCAACACAAGTTCCATGATCCTTTGAACTTGGCTGCACCGTACTGATGAAGACCAATAGTCAGAAAAACGTGTCGACCGTTACTTCTTTTTTACTTTTTTTATTTGGAAAATGTCCACTATTACAACCTTGATACAACTTTTTCTTCTGATGACGATTTTTTTCAGAATAGGGTTCTGTCTTATTTTATTTGGCCATGTACAACCCTTTATAGCTTACTTGTGTTTATTTAAATTATTTATGTACAACTTAATTTATGCCATTGTAATTTAATTATAACCAAGTAATTTTACAATAGAACTTTTCTGTTGTATCGCATCTTTATGGTACATTATTCATTGTAATAAACTCATTAGATTTATATAGCCTATAAAAGTTGAGCAACGTGTATTGTATCATTCACTAGTTAAATTACAAGTTCATTGATACTTCAGCCATGATGAAATATTTGCTGAAGAAAGATAATCACCAACAAACTCTTTCTATGTGTTTTGGCAATTAGTGTTGCCTACAAATTAGGAACCACTGCAGTTCTAAAGGCATACCTGTGTACAATTTCTAAATGTTAAAGGCAATGGCGACTTGAATTCGAACATGAAAACAATAGATTACGGTCTTACAATTAATATTCTTTCGATATTTCTTTTGCCGATTTCGAGTGTTAATAATAACCACCTTCCTCTCTATCCCTTCTATTTTCCCTCCATAGGTGGTGAAACCCTAATATTTGAGAACGAACCAGCACCTACCGGTAAGTTTTTTATCATTCATTTCGGTTGTGTACATTTTTTATACATTTTTTTGGTACCTTCTCGCCGAAAGACTTTAAAGTTTTAAAAATAAATCAATTTAATTTTTCGTTTGATTTCATTGTCAAATTAGTTGTCGAGTTAAATTTTTTGAATAATTTGTTTTATACAGGGAGATTAGGTAGCCAAATTTGATAGACCGTAAATTATCCACCTACGTTTTAGTTGTCGTTGCTAATTAAAATAATATCCTAATATATTAATTTGAATCCAAATATAGATTTTTGTCGTGTTAACCGAGATAACACATACCTGGATACCCATTTTCGTAATATATTAAGCCAATAAATACATTAATTTCGTCCAAATTTAGATATATTTTCCAGTTTAACTTTGATACCAATAATAAAAACATTTGAATTATTTCGTGAGCTGATAACTATCTAAAAAAAAGTACCTTTCTTGTGTCCTTTCGGTAGCAAATATTATTTTTTTTTATTTCGATGTAAATTTTATGGACATTTTATGTCGATTTATTTAAAAATGCCTACTCAAGAAGAATTTAAATTAAATAGATTGATTGCTCGTAGAGAAAATCTTTTTAGTAGAACCCAACGCTGTTACGATGTGGCAAGAGACGTTGAAAGAAATCCTTATTCCAGTAGCAAATTAGAAGCCTTTTCTATTCGTTATGCTACTTTTTCCAATGCTGTGCAGGAATTTCACTCAGTTGTAGAGGAAATCGTGATATTAAAACAAAAACTTAAACAGGATGAGGCTCCAAATTATGACTTGCTAAACACCTTTGACGATCTTTATAGTACGATTAAGTATTTAGCAGCTAAATTTTTACCCTCTTCGACTCCAGATCCCCCAGAAAGTACTGATTCAGACAGAAGAGTTCGTATGCCAAAGCTTGAACTTGTAAAATTTTCGGGCGATGATCTATCAGTTTGGCCTTTATTCTATGAAAATATTAAATATTTGGTTCACCGTAAAAGTGAATTTGCAAAGACTGAAAAATTACAGTATTTATTGGCAAGTCTTACTGGAAAAGCTTTAGTAACGTGTAATGCGTTTGAAGCTACCCCTAATAATTATGGTTCAATTTGGAAATTATTAGAGGATACCTATAATGACAAAAATAGGGATGATCCAGGCTTTTTTCCTACCACAGATTTTTTATTCCAATTTTACAGATAAGAATGTTTTGCATCAAAAATTTAAAGTTTACTGGTTCTCGATACGGTTTATTTTGTACTAACCTTTTCAAAGGTCTTTTCATCGTACGAATCTACAATCGTGATTCGGTCTCATAATACGCGTTAACATATTTGAATCTACTAATAGGCAACTCAAATTTCAAGGGACTGGATGAAGTTGTTTAATAAATTACCCCTCAAAATGACAAATAAAAAATACCACTGGTAAATACTAATAACAAGTAGCCATATTGGATAACCATCTCGGTTAACTTACCTTGGCGTAAACATACTTCCTCACTACTTTATATTCTAAGTTGGTGGCATGTCCGGTTCTTCTGCTACCGTAAATCAGTTAAACAATAAATTTCAACATGGTTGAATTTTCTCAAAATAACAGATTTTGAGCACCTAGTCCAAAAAAGGCAGGTTACAGAAAAAAATATTTATCCCTTTCGAAACATGATTAACGATGATTAACTGTTAGAAACATTATAGCCCCTTTAAATATTGATGTAAAAACAATTAACAATATTTTACATAAACAATTGAAAGTCCGTAAGCTTTGTTTCCCACAACTTGATTTTAGCTTAAGAAAAAGACTCTGTGAGGTAGTAAAGTTGTACCGTGGTTTGTCTAATTTTGTGTACATCATTACATGTGATAAAATATACAAAAACATACAATTTCATTCTATTACGGTTTTTCTATTGTATATCTTTAGGACTATTATTGTTTAATCGAAACTCATACTATTCAGAAAATAGCAAATCTAAAAATAAAAAGTTCACACAAAGTTTAAATAAAGGCTAATCATCTGGTAATCGATGCGTTCAACAAAAAAAAATAATAATAATAATAATTACGGTTTTCGAATCAAATAAATAACTATAAATATAACTAATTTGCAAATTTGATTTTACTTGTTTTAATGCATGTTCTAATGCGTGTTAACAATATTTTCTGGAAATTTTTGCTAATTTACAAATATTTTAAGTAAATATTCGTCCGGAAATTATTTTGACACTAGTCGTATTATAAATGTAACTTCACCTCTATGAATAACTTGAAACTCAAATGATGCTAAACAACATATTACTACAAATAATTAGTTGCTTAGGTACTTACCATGTAAAGCAACGTTCGTAAAAAATCGCTGGTCGTCAGAAGAGTATCATCAGATTGTTTTTTATGCATATAAAGAAAATCTACAAATATCAACACAATTAAAATGCTTTCAGAAAACATAAACAGTATGTGAGATCCAAACAGGCGATTTAAATGTTTAATATTGATACACATTTCGGTAAATTTATTCGCCAATTCTTCAATTTGTTTACTAAGTTCGTTACAATCCCGTAATGAAAGCGTTTTTGAGCAACTTCTGGTAATTTTAATTTTATCTATTATTTCTTTTTGGGTTCCGATTAAAATAGTTGCTGTATGGCAGAGGAAACTGCAAAGAAAAGTGTGGTACATGTTAGAAGTATAGAACGGAATGTACATGGAATAATTTAAAGCCCCGTGTAAATACAAATAAACCCATTGATAACTAGCTATCGATAAAGTTGTCAAATTTAAAAAAACTATAACCAAAATATCGAAAAGTGTGTTTCTAGATTTAAGTTTGGTGGAACATCTTTCCAAATAGTTCAAAAATACTGTCCATTCATTGCTGTTGATGTAGGTTGAAACGTATATACAACATGTTAATAAAAATCCGTTTATTCCTTCTACAAAATCGACTACAGTTATTGTTATTCCCAGAACTTCCTGCAATTGTAAGTAGAAAACATAACGGATATAAACACAATATATATTAAATATTAAATATATTACTTGAAGAATTATATAAACCCTTTTAAGTACTTTTATCATTGCAGTATTGACTTTTTTAGAATTGTTAGGTAAAATACCAACGCATCTGGCAACAGAACATAATTTCTGGAATAGTATCTCTTCCATGAAATTATATTTAATGATTTTATTAATAATATTACTAACTGCTTTTCTGTTTATGCGTTTGACTGTTTACTGGCTCGTTTAGAAAATACAATGGTATTACACTTCAATCACCTAATGAAAATGTAGAAAGAGATGAAACTAGTTGTTTGTGGGTAAACACATATTCATAATGTGTGTTATGTTGATATATTACGTGGAAAATATTGAAAATAAAAACAAAGCATTTAAGTCATTTCAAATACTTGACAACTTGTTATAAAACGGGTTAAAAATTGTACTACTTTTCCTTATTGTTTATTTAAATATTTTACAGTAAAAAAGGAGATAATTTTCACACTTAGGTTCGAATAAAATATTTTCATTATTGCTTCTAGAGACTACTTTATATTAGTAATATGGTTTTCTATAGTTATTAATAAATAATTATGTAATCCATGTGATATAGTTCTTATTATCATAAGTGTACAATTCAACTAATATTTTTGAATGTTTGATGAAGAGATAAATCAAGAGTTAGAAGTTTATAGAACATTTAGGGTCAATTCCACTGTTATGTCAAACGAAGTTTAAATTACTGAACTATGGAGGGTAGAAAAAAGGAGGACAATCTTATATGGATCTTTATATTAAAAAGTGACCACCAAAATGTACACAATTAAGATGGCGCTCGTGTAGCCAGGGGACAAAATCCAATGCTATATAGTCATATAGATTGCTCATTCATTAGAATTATTTATTGTTTATATTATTATTTTTTAATAAAATTTGACTATTAGGCATTCCAAACAAATGAATTACCAGTGGGCAGGTGTGGTGTATCTAAGGGTGGCGACATATGGTGTATTCTATCTACTTTACGTAAAATCATGAATAATGGATTACATTTAAATATTTTATGTCAAACACAATAAAAATAATATTTAAAAAACCCACCTATACATTTCTTCATAAATTGGCAGGCTTGGCGAGTACTACTTCGAATAAAAATAGCGTCCAAGTTGCAAGACTATTTCGCTACCCCCTTAAATATACAAGAATTTCCCACTGGCACCTATTGTTTGACAGGTCGTTGGAATGCCTAATTGTCGTGTATTGTCAAAATTTATCTACGATCACAGAACACTTACTCTTCTACGACCAGTCACTTTTCACGGTGTAGTTTTTAGTTTTTTATGGTTGAGCAATATTTATTACTATATACATCATTGGTGTCATTGTGTGATCTAAATTATCGACTGTCGACGTCCCCTGGGCACAGAAGCGCCATCTTAATTGTATACATTTTGAGGGACACTTTTTGTATACAGAGATTGTTCTCCTTTCCTCTACCCTCCATATACTGAACGAAGACTAAAATGACATTGTTAATGTAAAAATGTCATTTTAATTTTTGGTTAGTAATTTTTACTTTGTTTAACACTACCGTGGAATCGGCCTTAAGGCACGTATTTATAAACCGAACTCATTTGAGTCAGGTGCAGCCTCCGAGCAATTACTAATAGAGGGAGCGTGAAAACGAGTTTGTAGGCGATTGTTGTGTTAGCAACATCTGTTGAGGAAGTGAGGAAGCGGGAACAAGGGGGAAGGTAAACATCCTTCTTCTTCAGTGGTGTATCGTTTATCTATAAAAACACACCTTGTCCAAACGTTTTAATTGTTAAAAAAAAAACTAAAAAATTTGCTAATTTTACTATTTTTAAAATGAATACCGTCTTATATGTGTCTAATGCAGGAAAAGAAACAAAATCACTGTAAAGGTCTAATTTTTTCAATTGAAGAATAAAACCTTAAAATTAATTTTATTATAAATACAGGTGCAACTAGTTTCGGCCTTACAGGAACATCTTCAGGCCTGTAATACAATAATCTTTAATTAATATAATAGGTTGGTCACTTACGAATAACATTAAATAGTATAAACCACAAAAATGGATCCATATTGTAGCGTTACAGCATTATAGAATTAAAGCTGTGAAAATAAAAGAGCAGTGCAAACGTAACTAAAAATAAGAAAACTGAGTACGGAATCTACAAGAGAAGAGGTGAGAATGAGCAATTACGAATGCATTTATATTGCTCGGGATAACAAATAAAGCTGATAATGTAGTGGTATATGTTAAAGAGGACGGCGTTTTCTCTGTAAATCTGGAGAATGTAAGGATGGAGGGAAGACGAATCTTGCTGGCTCAGGTGTAAATGGCTAGAAAAAGGAGCGTGTAGATGAAAGCTCCAGTAAATATCGTCACCTTCGTCTAATTTTTTATTCTCACTCACCGTTTCGGCTTTATCTTCGAAATTCATTTTTGAAAGGAAATAAAAGTAATCATTCATACACGCATATAATAAAACAACTTGAATTCATTATATTTAATAAGCTAATAAACGTTTTTTTCAATGAAAAAAACATATATGTAAGTATAAAAAATATATAAATAGATAAGATTATTATCAAAATCAATTTGAAAATACAACAGACAATAAAATGTTAAAATTGTTAAACTTTCTTCTAAGGAAGCTATAACCTTATGGAGAATAAAAATTTAGTAATGTTAGATCAAAAGCTCTTAATTGAGAATTATATTTGCAAAGGCCGTTTTAATAATATTTTCAAAAGTTCTTGGATGCGTTGTTAACAGAAACCTGCAAAAAAATATATAATTTTATTCCTAAAATATAAGATATCACACAATGCACATTCATATAATATCATTGTGCTAGAAAATACTAGGTAGTTACTGAGACAATTTAAAAAAAGTATTTCGAGAAACTCAACTTTTAATGTCATCATTGTACTCAACTTTTTGATTGCAAAATTATTAATAATGTCATTTTGTGCAGTTTGTTGTGATTTGTATAATATATATTATAAAAAACTATCGTCAATGTTAATATGCCAAGTATT